AAATGGGATGCAGTAAATTGGCTAATTAGGTATATCTAAAATGTGTTACTATAATTTCACATTGATAGGTTTATATACTTCAGTTTGATGCAAAAAACACTTCAATACATTTTTCCTATCATTAAAAAAGAATTATGGAAGAAAAGGAAAGTAATATACAGGATTAACTGCGATTTATGAGACAACGTATTCACACAGCTAGACGATAACGAACAAGAGAGCATAGACTAAAATAACGTCATAGATACAGTTGACGTTGACTTTACAAAATTGAGTTTACAAACCATGAAGTATTAACAGAGAGTGACTCTTCAGTCGCAGGTGTCCATGGGCGGCGGTAGTCACTTACTATCAGGTGACGCATCTGCTCTTTTGCTCATCCATAAAGAAAACTTGTCCCTGAAGTGAATATTTAAAGGCAAATAGGATTGAAATACGGGAATGGGTCTAATATTATTTTTGGCAGAATGAGGACGCTTAACACGTCTATGTTTACCATTTCGGAGTAATATGCGTCAGGGTATGTGTGTATAAGAATTAGAAGAATAACTGCTTAAATTATACTTTATATATTATTATTATTATTATTATAACAAACCAGGTCTTGATAGTTATTTAAATGTGAAAACATGTAATTGGTTTTTAGCTACATTATTTGCTCTTACCATTAAGTTTTTAATACTGTTTGTTTTCTAAATAAAATAAAATAAATAAATAAGAATAACTTTATAATAAAATGTGTAAACAAATATAAGTTCTCTTCGCACATTGTTCACAAGTTTCACACATGTTCTACAAAGTAAATGGTACAAAGGTTTTTCCTGGTCACGTCCATTTTACCGAGTGGCAACACTGAACGCTAGTGACGCGGGCAGCGCGCTAAATTGTTATGTAAATGTTCGCAATGAATAAATGAACATGTCGAGGATAATGAAGCGCATCTGTGCACTGCATCAGGTATTGACAGGTGGTTGTATGTGCTGGGTGTCAATATGCTCATAAGTGCATGTATAGCATACTATGTTTTGTGCTCAGGTTTGCCTGTAAATAATAAAATGTAATGAGAAGATATATCTATAATGAAATAATATTTTAAAACTAAATCTTAGTTGTTTTATTAGCGAGATTTTTATAAAGCCAATTAGATTTATTTGGGAGGGAATATAAGTTTTTAAGTTCAAAGCTTGATTTTAAACAGGTTCTAAGTTTGATTGAATTTTGGTAATTTTTGTACAGTGTCCTAAGGTTGGTCCCAATTTAAATTGAAAAAAAAAAACGTTAATGAAGGATAGAGATTTTGTTTAATAATAAAACATGGACAAGTTATCAATGCGCGTTAAAGTCGGTGACTAAACTTTGGTTAAAAAGTTAATGATTAAAGATTAAATTATGGAAAAGGTTGCTCCATGTACACTTCATATTTTTACACTAGCTGAGACCCGCGGTGTTACCCGCGTTTGTTGTTATAACCGCGGGCAACGCCGCGGGGCGAAGCTAGTCTAAAAAAGTAGCCTAAGTTACTCCTTATATCATCAGCTATCTGCCAGTGAAAGTCCCGTCGAAATCGGTCCAGCCGTTCCAGAGATTACCAGGAACAAACAGACAGACAAAAATTTAAAAAAATGTTATTTGGCATATGTACCGTGTAAACATACATATGCATTTAGTAAAAAGCGGTTATTTTAATATTACAAACAGACACTCCAATTTTATTTATTTGTATAGATGATGTCTGTAATGCCGTATTAATACTCCTACGGGATTCATATTCCTCTAGCTGTCGGTAGCATATATTGTCGGTAGCAAAAGCCCTATTTGGGCAGAGTCGGGGTTGTAAACTAATATTACATACTTATAGTTTCTTAACTTCGTGTGTTGGTGTGTTTGTTTATCAGTTACGATATATTTGTTTAGTGGCTGTTACATTGCGTCATTGTACGTATTACAAATGTTTATTAACAATGCTCCGGTCGCATGCTACTATGTCGTTCGAATTGACTGACATTGTGGACGTGTTTGACTTTATTTATTTGTACGTGTTATGTACGTATTTATGTTTTGTTGTCTTGTTTATACTGTAGGTGGTATGTGTACATAATTTTTGTGTAGCTGAGGTGGCAAACAGAAACGAAACTTCCAATTGACCTTTTGGTTTAGTGATTAGTGATCCTGATTTCTCAGCCATAAATCGTATTTTCGTCGTTAACACCCTTTGTGTTTGCATCCCCCCCTCAATGGTACCTCTGACAACAAGTGAATGACACTTGGTGAAAAGTAAAGAAAGAATTGCTTGAAACTGGTTTTCTGTAAGGCCGTGGTATCATTCTGGTCGAGCCGGACTGTATGAGCAAGGCTCTCCATAGCAGCTTATTAGGAGTAGTCGAAGGTATTGAAAATTGTTTTCATGCAATACGTTGTACTTAAAATGCTCTTTAAAATTCTGTCTATAAAATTCTATTAAAGCAGATGCTTTCGCTACAAAATCAGAAAACTGCATGTTATCTAAATGGCTGCCTTCCAACATTCTTGCAGGTGCAAATAAAGCCACATACGTTATAGACAATATCGGATGTTTTACTTGTCATCAGCTATTGTTGGGCAATGACGTCGTATGTCTAGGCACGAGCCTAGTCATGAACAGCGGTTAAACTGGCGCTTTAATGTTACTGGCAACATTTTAATATAATTGTCAATGGGCAGAACAGTCAACTGTCAAAGGTTGTAATTACGATTAACGCTCATTTAAATAACTATTCTAACATGCACACTTAGGGTGCTATTTTTTCTTTAAATTGGAATAGGATTAAACAGACAATTATCCTCCCAAATTTTTTTTTAATCGGTTCATAATTATAATGACAGAGTTCTGAGGTAGCAACATAAAAAAACAGAACCAAATTGAGAACCTCATTTTTTCATGATTTCGGTTAAAAATAGTATATATATAGTAATAACTTTAAGACTATGGCAACCTTAAGGACAAGTTAAATGACCAAAAATACTCACTTTTGATAGGTTTCGTACTTAACAATAACCATCTATGTTTAATAACTTATTAACCTCTAAATATAAACTGTGGTAAATAATATTTTAATTGCTAAATAGGCAATGTTAAATTACTATAAATAATAACACATAAACTCAATCAAGTTAACAATACGTTAGATAAATCATTTACGTTTGAACACAAATGATGCGCGCACGCATCTGGTATAACACCTTCTTTTAATTCTATTTTTCACTTAAATAGTTATTTCAATTCTTTTATTGTATTAAAATGTTAAGCAAGAAGGAACCCTTGTGAAGAAGAAACTTTACATATTTGATTGTGTATGTCTAGCAACCATTGAGGCACAATTTTGGGGGCTGACAATTAATAACTAAAAATAAAATTAACTTAACATGCCTCACACAAGGCTGTCTGATCCCAAATTAGGCAAGGCCTATACTATGATAATAATTATACAACAAGTATAATTAAATTAACAAGTAACAATTATATAATATTTTAAATTACACCCAGACACAGAACAAATGATCGTACTCATCACACAATTGATTGTCCTAGGTGAGAATCGAACCTACGATCTCCGGCTTAGCAGTCAGAATCACTAACCATTAGACCGATCTCTTCATAGTCTATATACATAGATATGTACGGAGCTTATTTTTTTTTATTGACTAACGATATATAAACGAGCAGACGTGTCACCTGAGAAAAATTAAATAATTTTGGCGCTTTATTACTGAATGCAAATAATGGTAGAGATTGTTTCAAGTTTCATACCGTCGTCGCTATTCGAAATATACGAAAAATGAAACGCAAATTAAAAAAAAAATCGGATTGTCTCGGATTGTCGATGGTCTGCGATGTCATTATGTCATATTAAGCATTTTTTACATCATTCCCAAACACATCCGGTATGATAATTAGACGTTTTATTATTTTGATCGGTGTATTACGATCTAATATGATTTGTTCTTATTTTTACTTTTAATTTATTTCTAAATAAGCAATAGATCTTTCGCTTTCACTAAATTTATTTATAAGCAGTCTGTTATATTATTTGTGTTTCTAATATGTAGGAAATTTAGCATTTGACTGTATTTAGATATGATGTGTACTTATGATATGCGATATTTGAAGCTGATTGTGAAGGCATTTTAATGTTTTTAAAGTGAAAACTTCTTTAGGCGCGTTGGGCATTTTTGAACAAAAAAACAAAAAAATGTATTTTATGGTTTAACAAAAACACATTTTTTGAGATGGGAAAAAACCATTGAACTCACTACACTGTTACCGTTACCGTTACCGTTACCTCTTTATATAAGTATCTACATTTAATGGCCCCGTTTACTCGAGAGTTGAGTTTGGGGTGAAATACATTTAAATATTACTATAGATAATATAAACATATATTGTGTGTATACGTACAACATACATATATATTTAAATCGGAAAAACAAAAATGTTTTCTGTTATAATAAAAAATCAGTGCTTTTAAATTTGTACATCTATCATTGTTGATAAATTATTAGAACTGCTGCTCATCAACCCGTAAGTAAACAATTATTTAAATAAATAAATTAATTTATGTACATTATTTTTAATTACAAATGAAAAAAAGCATATGTGTACACGTCTGCTGTGTCTTTTCGTCTTATGTTGGTCATGAGATCTGTACCAACTGTTACGGTGCAGGAATGCAGCGCATGCGCGCCTTCTATCTGCTTTCAAATTTTGAATACCCTAACATTGAGCGCTAAATTTAAAACGTAATTATAGTAAAATAAAAAATTTGCCAAAAATTAAAAAAAAACCATATATATATATATATACGTTTTTAATATGTGTATAAATCTTTACTACATAAATGACTTTAATTTTAATAATAAGGACTTTACTTCGGTAACGTCAATTGAGGTATAGTATATATTGGTTATAGTATTCGTACAGCTTTCAAATAATCTTTACTTTTGGTTTTAGGTTTCACTCAATAATGCAAAAAAATACGGATGATTCTCACGAAGGACGTAAAAGAAAAAGACAGATAAATGACTCATCTGATGATGAAAAAATAGAAGAAGAAAGAAATCGAAGAAATAGAGAAAAATGTAAGCGATACAGAGAAAAGAAAAAGAATCAGGTCGCTGTTCCCCCCATCAGAGGCTTTTCTGATCCCGATGAGAAAAAAAGAGAAGAAGAAAGAAAACAAAAAAATAGAGAAAAGACTAAGCGATACAGAGAAAAGAAAAAGAATGAGGTCGCTACCCTGCCCATGAGTTGCTCCTCTGATCCCGATAAGAAAAAAAGAGAAGAAGAAAGAAAACAAAAAAATAGAGAAAAGACTAAGCGATACAGAGAAAAGAAAAAGAAAGAATTCGCTGCCCTGCCCAGCAGTGGCTCTTCTGATCCCAATGAGAAAAAAAGAGAAGAAGAAAGAAAACAAAAAAATAGAGAAAAGACTAAGCGATACAGAGAAAAGAAAAAGAATGAGGTCGCTACCCTGCCCATGAGTTGCTCCTCTGATCCCGATAAGAAAAAAAGAGAAGAAGAAAGAAAACAAAAAAATAGAGAAAAGACTAAGCGATACAGAGAAAAGAAAAAGAAAGAATTCGCTGCCCTGCCCAGCAGTGGCTCTTCTGATCCCAATGAGAAAAAAAGAGAAGAAGAAAGAAAACAAAAAAATAGAGAAAAGACTAAGCGATACAGAGAAAAGAAAAATAATGAGATTGCTGCTCTGTTTATTGCCACTGCTGATTCTTCTAGTGATTCTTGTAGTACAAAAATGGAACAGATAAGACAAAAAAAAATAAACTCAGAAAAATGTAAGCGGTATAGAGATAAAAACAGAAGATCAAAACAAACACAAAATATTTATAATCGTCAGAACGTACCACAACAGATACATAGTTCTCAAATCGCAAGCCCATCTACAATAGATGCACTAAATGTACCACCAGCCATCCATACTTCACAAATTGCAGACCCATCCACCAGATATGTGCCATATGTACCACCAGTTCTCCATAGTTCCACAATCGCAGGTCCATCATCAAGAGATGTATCTTATATTCCACCGAGTCATTCTAATAACGATTCTCCTAATCACAAAATTTGTTTATTTATTCTGCAAATGCTTCTGCATTACTTCAAGATAAAATTGGGAAGAGATTTGATGATTTGTTAATGATTTCGAGTGGGATATCAACATCAACTGTGCAGATAATAAAAATCTACCATTAATTGAATTTTTAAATAAAGAACATGATTGAGCACTTTGCCCAACAAAATAAAAGAATTACGATTGCTGCAGTCTTTACAAGATATTTGAATAGATTCGAATCAAAATAGTTTTTTTTACATTAGCTTTATATTATATATTTACTTTATATTAGCTTCACTTGTATGTTTGTAACCGACTCCTTTGGGCGTGATATTGACTGACTTTAAACGGTCAGAATTCGTTAAAACTTTGTAGATATATCGAGGACCGATGACAATACACTAATTAAAAAAAATAGTTTAAAAAAATTAAAATACACGCTTTTATAAAAAACCAAACTAAAAAATTGAAAATAAATTTTAATAAATTTGAAAAAAAGCGTGGGGTGCTTTTTATTATTGACAACAGGCACCAAACGCTTTTTCCTATTTTAGTTACTTTAACGTTAATTTCATTGGTATTCATTTCAAAGAATACCAATTAATTGAATTTCATATTTCTGAAGACTGCACGGATGGCGTAATGGTTTAAGCGGTCGCCACGTCGTTCACTACTACGCTGAGTACTGAAGGTCCGATCCCCACATGGGAAGACACTTTGTGTGATCCACAAATTGTTGTTCTGTGTCTGGGTATTCTTTGTGTCCGTTTCATGTATGTTTGTAAAGTCCCCCGCGACACAGGATGTATTTCTAGTGCGGTAGTTGTCTTTTTAAAAAGAAAGAAAGAAAAGAATGAAATATTTCAATTTTGTAAATTTACATTTTAAGCAGCGGATTGCAATTTTTGTATGTAAAATATTATGTATTATTTTTCATGTACAATGGCAATTAAATGAAAATTGTAATAAAAAATTTGTAGTAGTAGTTTATAATAATGATGAAAAAAAAACCACTTTATTTTAAAATTATTTCCTGCACAATAAAATATTTCCTGACGATTCAAAAAATACACACGTAATTGTTCAAGTTTACACTTCTGTCGGCACTCCCAGAGTGCCACTGTGTTTTTATTCACATCATCACACCACATCAACAGCCTATGTTAGTCCACTGCTGGGCATAGGCCTCTAACTAGAAAGGAGGTTTTCTCCTACTATAATACGCTGGCCAGACGGGTCGGAATAGGGTTTGTGTCAAGTTTTCCTTTTCTTTGCAGTGCTATTCTTCAAAGTCTTGCGTAGTTTTCTCCCTTAGTCGACTTTTACGACACCCTACGTATTCTTAATCCGTCACCACACGGATACTATACTTAATATTTTTTTATCAGGACTACCATAATTTTAATTGTATTTTTTTTTAATTAGTCATAAATATATCTTCTTTAGGTATCGATTTTTCAAATTGGATTTTTATAGTTGAATTTTATGCGAAAGCATTTGTTGCGTTGCACATTTAAATTTAAGAAACAATATCGCAGGTTGGGTTGGAAAAATAAGTAATCAAGAATAGGCTTTAATACAATTTTTTTCATCATAATTTAAAAAAAGTCTGTCATACTTTTGTGTATATATTTTATCCTAATTCAAGAAAACTAGTTAAGTATAAAAACTAGTTCATAACTTGCGTAACATTCACGAAAAAAAAATGAATACTTCCTTAATTTTTGAGGGCGTTAAAAGAAAATAATTACATAAGTATCTAATATTATTTAAATACATAGTAATTTGGTACGTCTTAGTAGGTTTATGACACGTTTGTAAGGTAAACTCGAATAATTATTTGAATACCTAATGCCCTCAACTTTAAAATTGCGTAATAGAAAAAAAAGAGAAAAAAAACTATAGCTAATAGATAGCTATACTCTATGATATGTATTATTGTCATATATATCTATTTTGCTTCTATTGAGCCCTTCAAGTGTCAACAGATTGTGAAGAAGCCTCAAGAAAGTCAGTGAGGTTTTCATTCCATTTATTGCTGTGGTTTCCATATTTTACATGTCGAGAAATACTTATGTGTAAATCTTTACTTAGCTACCCGCTAAACAGTTTGAAGGTTTATAATTCGAAGATCTGTGTTCCTAATTCAAATTCAATTGACGAATACCAACATAAGGAAACATTGCCGGAAGCGCGTAGATAATTAGCATCGTTGAAATTGGATGCATTCCGTTTTACGTAACTTGCAATTGTTATCTGTTACGTCACATAGATGAGCTGTGTGTGAACTGCTCTAGATTGAGAAATGTGGCAGCAGTTGTATTTTCAATTGTCATTTTATATGTACTTCAAAAAACTAGATTACGTTACATACATTTGTTAAGAGTAGACAAAACTAAAGTTTGTCTAAAAAGAAGACTAATGACGCTGTCATAACTTAGTCCACTAATAGGTAACTAATATGGTATAACATGCTTAGTTTTAAAATAAATTATTTCGCCTCAATCATTAAATTTAACATCTTAAAGTACAGCTTGTATTGTTCTCGACTATTAATTTAAACATATTATTGTTTTGATATTTTGGCTAATTCTTTTGTCATAGTTTAGTTAACTTTAAAAACGTAAACATTGGTAGGAAAATAAAAAACACAACACTTTTCCCATTTAAAGGACAAAGTAAATTAAAACATCTGTCCTGTAAAACAATTGAAGTCATTCTAAACAAAACAAAGTTGCGTTATGATCTGTTGGGCAGCTAGTTTTATATAAATATGAATACTACTTGCGAAACTTAAAATTCTAATATTAAAATTTACTTGCGAAATTTGACACACACGAACGCAGTAATTTAAATAAAAGCTTCTAAAAATGTATCTATTGAATTTAATCAAGAATTATTTTAAAATTAGAACACTAATTATTGAATGATTATAAGTAGTTGTTCTTGTAAATGTCATTACCTAATACTTTTTTGTTAATATAAATGAAATGCAACGTGTTCACAGATTAGAAAAACAAAATTTGCGCTATGCCAGATTAATTAATGACACCTGCACAGTATATAAACAAATATTCGCATTATATGGTGATGGAACCTGTGACCTGGTATTGTAGTTTTACCACCGCATAGGTGGCCCATGTTGATAGTAACCACAAATTTATGATTATTTGTGATGTTTGGGTTTAGGTTACGGTTATTTACCTAAAACATAATTTTAATATAAAGACTTGTAAAGGTATGTGCCGTGAATGAAAATACCAGACCTATTACGTCAATTACCGATAAATACTCGTAAGCTGACATCACCTGATAATTCGTTTTTTTTAATAGCAGATATATTGTTTTACGTTTATAGTAGGCCAAGACCTCCTTTCTAAGGAAAGGCCTATGTCCAGCAGTGGACTAGTATAGGCTGTTGATGTGATGTGATATTGTTTTGTGTTGAATAGGTCCCTAGGCCTAGCTATAAAACAAAAGCCGTCCCGAAAATGTATGAACATTCCTATGAATTACATAATAAGATGTTAACATACTTCAACTAGGTATGTTTTTATAGCACTAACACAAAAGAAAAATTACAGCTGCTTCTTCTTGTTAAAGCAACAATTCTTGTTTAAGCAGTATCATCGGTTAATCGTTTTCATGCAAATATGGACAAGGTAAATACACTATATAAAGACCATTACACAATTCTCCGTGCCTTAATGCTTCCCTGTTCGTGTGCCGAATTACGATACACCATAATGGCGGAGCGATATTTGTAAATTTAATATTCCTACGTAAAACATTTGCAATGTAATTATCACCTGTCACCATGATCCCGCCGCAAAGTTGGACTCCACTTTGCACTACGCATATTTTGAATTGTTTTTATAATCCTAGCGTGGTTGTTAGTTTTTGTTTATATTGGGATTTTTTTTCAAGGATTGAGAAATAGTTTTTCTTAATTAAAATAAAAACAACGATATAATTGTTCATTTTCGACATTGACTGTGTTCGGTAGCTGAAGGCCAATTTTCGTAATAAAAATTCGTTCAAAATTCAATTCCGAACTATTCTAGACTGATTGCCATTTTATTAAACCTACATGCATTCTGGTGGAGTCTTTCGGTTTAAGCAAGTGTAGTTTTGCTTACTTCTTCTTTGCTCCCCCAAAAGTTGGGATATAAAACAGTAGTTTGTTAAGCTATGTAGCTTAACGTAATTTTTAAATACGAAGCTTAAAACATATGACCTAATGTCTTATTTACTAAACTTAAACTTAAAAGGAAAACCATTGAGTTCATTAGCATTCAAATGACTATCTGTTAAAAATAATCCTTAAACAAAGTCTATGAATGTTTTTGAATGTAGAAGAATTTTATGATTTGAAAAATAAATATTTATTATAATCTATTTAAATTAAAAGACGAGTTTGAGGATAACAACAGGTGTTTTTAAATTTAGAACTTTTACTCCGTTTTTAATTTGATTGTCAATTTTTATAAATAGAATATACGTTTTGCAACCTCCATGAGTAATAGAGAGGCTTACTGAAAACGTAAGAACTTATCATTACATAGTTAATTTTCTAAATCTTTTTAAGGCGAGAACAGTTATAATATTGTTCATTGTCCTTAGGTACTTGTTTTATAACCAGTCCTTATTCATCGCGAATTCTGTTTCTCATAAGCGAGATACGTCTCAAATATAAACTGAACTAAAAATCCTAATGATTGAAAAATAACAATTATAATCTGATATGGATTTGCTCTCAAGATAAATAAGTTCACACCGAAGCAACAGAAAATAAACCGTTACATTATTAACATTTTATATACAATATGAACTATTGTTTCATTGTTTGCCGCGTTTAGTTTTTAATCTAACCTAATAGGCGCCCATTCACATCTTAGACACAATGAGTTAATAGATTCAGAAGTATAAGTATTTTGGCTAAAAGTGATGTAACCGGTGATTTTTTATGTTACTCGTACATTTCGACACATTTCGATTGTCACAGATAATTTAAGCAGGCCTTTCTTTGAGGGTAACTTGGAACAATAACATTGGCCAAATTAGCTACTGGTAATCGTATTCTT